AAAAAAAAAAAAAAAGTAGAACTCCTCCTCAGCAGAATTTTTAACACCCTATCTTAAACAGCAAAATGCATAATAAAATGAAACCATAATCCATGGAAACATAAAATGCATTAGAAATTCCTGGTTTTATGTTTCTTTAATAATATTTAAATGCTCTTGTAGTTGAACCTACATTTATGGTTCAAAAAACTGACAAAGGCCAGGCTCACTCACGCCTGTAATCTCAGCACTCTGGGAGGCTGAGGCAGGTGGACTGCTTAAGTCCAGGAGTGTGAGACCAGCCTGGGCAACACAGGAAAATCCTGTCTTTCCAAAACAACAACAACAAAATTAGCTGGGTGTGGTAGTGCAGTCTTGTAGCCTCAGCTACTCCTAGGAGCTAGAGAGGCAGAGGTGGGACGGTCACCTGAGCCTGGGGAGGCGGAGACTGCAGTGAGCTTTGATCGCACCACTGCACTCCAGCCTGGGGGACAGAGGGAGATCCTGTTTCAAAATACATACATACATATATATACACACACACACACACAAAACCACAATAACTTCTTTCACATTACTATTTATTGAATCCTCATGGTTAAAAGTTTACAGCCTTATTTAATTCTCACAACAATCTTAAGAGGCAGGTATTTTCCTTTTTATAAATGAGATATCTGAGACTCAGAAAAGGGCACTTTTCCAAGGTCACAAAGTAAATTTAAGACCTGAGTCGATCTAAACCGAGGTCTACGTGACTCCAAAGCTCAGTGCTCTCAATCATTGTTAGAAGAATGGTCTAATCAAAACGCTGAAAAACCTTAGGCCAATTCAGAATATTTAATATTCTTTGTTAAAAAATAAAAAGACCAGCCGGGCGCGGTGGCTCACGCCTGTAATCTCAGCAATTTGGGAGGCTGAGGTGGGCGGATCACGAGGTAAAGAGATCGAGACCATTCTAGCCAACATGGTGAAACCCCGTCTCAACTAAAAAAAAACAAAAAACCAAAAACATTAGCTGGGCGTGGTCGTGCGCACCTGTAGTCTCAGCTACTCGGGAGGCTGAGGTAGGAGAATTGCTTGAACCTGGGAGGCGGAGGTTGCAGTGAGCCGAGATCGTGCCACTGCACTCCAGCCTGGCGCCTGAGCGAGACTCTGTCTCAAATAAATAAACAAACAGACTTTCTATGACCAACATTCAAGTTCAAACCGAACTAGAGAAATACCCTGACGGTCCATTTTGTTCTGAATTAATTACTTCAAAGGCAGGCAGTGGCACACTACCATCACACCATATTTTAAAACACAAACCTCCCTTTAACCCCAAAGTCTCAAGAGGCTCAAATAATTTCACATCATCTCAGACGCCTGCGGCAAAAGGTATGTTGTAGTATACTTTTTGTAATCCAGACCTCAGTTTTGTATTTGTAAAATGAATTAAGTACCCTGAAAGCACTTTCCTGTATGGGGGTGAGGGTGGATACTGAAAGTGTTCACCCTATACAATAGAATATTCTAGGTCAGAGGAGTAAGAGATGGTAAGAGTACGTACGACAGCAGTCTAGTATAACAAGATTTGCAAAGTATTGGGAAAGCAAAGAAATCTTTCCTCCCTGGTTCAGTCAATCATTCTTAGCACCCAATGGCAAAGTCAGAAACAGTCGCCATGCTTCACACTCTTTAAACTCCACCCTCCACAGCGAAGCTTTAATAGCAATGGCTTCTTCCTCACTGCTAATGATCTTTGTTCGGCACACTACTGATGGCGACCTTCCCAATTCAGGAGCAGAGAAAGAGCATCAGAGTGAGAGCGCATTCACTGAACAAAAAAAGCATCTACTGTAGTCCCTTCTCACTGAAAAATGTACCCTTTATCTGCGTTGATTTGAAAAAAAACTATCTGGATTCTTTCCGGACTCAACCAATAAGCAATTCTTTCTAACCACCCCTGACCCTCCAATATGTTTTATCCAAGGGCACTACGTTTCCGTATCTTATAACAAATATTTAACGTGACCAAAAGAGTACACAACTTCCTCCCACCCCCAACCTTTTGGGAAAGGTATGTGGCCAACTAGGGCTCTTCCCTTCCTGTTGGATCCTCCCAGTGTTGCAGCAGGAAGCAACCAGTCCAGAGAGATAAAGCAAGCCAGTATTTGTGCAGCGCACCGCCTTTCCTGCTCAGGAACCGGGCCTTCAGGTCTGGCAAGGGGAACAGCCACCACCCATCCGCAAACCCTCCTCGCGAACCGAGTCAAGAGTGACCCAGGGCTGGGTGCTCCTGGACGGGGAAGGCAAGGGAAGAAAAGGCTGGGTGGGAAGTAATGTCAGCCTGCCGGGTCACTGCGACAAGTGCGCGCGTGGGGGACGGGCGATCCCTCTCACCCTCCCTCCCTCCCCGACCCGGGTCGCGATGGAGACAAGGGAGCTCTGAACACAATTTGGGCAGGGAAGGGAGAGAGAGAGTTGCCACACGCGGAGTGGGGGAGGGAGCGGTCAGAGAAGGTTAAGGACCGCGAGAACCGCCCGGCGAGAGGTGGGGGTGGGGAGGGCGGCGGGGAGGGGGCGGTAGCGGGGCCCCCCGGCCCGCTCAGATTTTACGGGGTCCTGGCCCCGGGAGGGGAGAAGCTAAGAGCGGGCGGCCGTCCGAGGGGAAGGGGGAAGGGGGCAGGTAAGGAAAGGACCCGCGGTGGGAGTGTGCGCCGAGGGGAAGGCGAGGAGGGGCGCGAGCCCGTCGGGGGGCTGCGGGAGAGGACGCGGGCCGGGAAGGCCGCACGCGGGGGGGGCTGCACCCCAACAGAGGCGGCGGGAGGAGCGGCGGCCGGGACCGGGGAGAGGAACCGGCGACGTGGGAGCAGGCAGCGCCCGGGAGGGACCCGCAGGGAGGGGCCCCGAGGCCAGCGAAGGGCTCGGGGGTCGCTGGGGGCCCGTGGCGCGGACCCCGTCTGGGCCGGGAGAAGCGCCGAGCCGGGCAGCAGCCGGCGCCGCGCGGAAGGAGGGGCTGAGGCAGGCCGGCCTCGGCGCAGGGGGCCCGCGGGCCAGTCCGCCGGGGGCGTCCCAGGCCCCCGCGGGAGCCCGCCGCCTCACCTTTAAACAGGTAGTCGTACTCGTCGTCGCGGGTGCCCATTGCGCGGCCGTGGGGCGAAGCGGCGGGAGCAGCAGCGGTGTCCGCGGGACCGGGGGGCGTCGCTGCAGGGGGACCCGAACGCCGAGCTTTAGCGGCCGCACTGGGTGAACAGCCCCGCCCTGCCGCTGCGCCACTTCCGGCCGGCCCCGGCCTCTCCGAGGAAGTGCTTCCGGGGGCGGCGCCCCGCCCCTGAGCCCGAGGAGGGCGGTGCGCGCGAGTCGCGTGGCCCGAGGCTTCGGACTTTCGCGGCTAAAAGAAGCTCAAAGGGGAAATTGAGGCCTGGAATTACTAGTTGACCGTGGTCTTAGTGGCCTCTTGCTCATTCCTCGAGCTACCGTGCCCGGAAGCGGCTCGCTGGAACGCGCGGGACCGCCTCTGGATGGCGGGTGTGTGTATGGGGGCGGGGTTCTCTAAGGATTAGAGAGCCCAAGGCCGTCACATATGCGTGGCGGTTCCATGGTGTAATGGTTAGCACTCTGGACTCTGAATCCAGCGATCCGAGTTCAAATCTCGGTGGAACCTACAGTGTTTTCTTTTTTTTCTCGACAACATTTTTAATTCACTTTTTTGTTCACTAAATCATTGAACGCTTATGATATATCTTCACTAGAATTAAGATGGAGATGTAAAATTTAACCCTTGCCTATGAAGACCTTACAAATTTCCCACTGCATTTCAGGTAGTATCTGCTACTTGACGGGGGTTGTCTTACTGAGCCGCTTCTCTTTGCCTATTTTTTAGCCTGATCCCTCAAACCTTAGTTCAGAAGCTTCAATGAAACTTGAAAATTTCTTTTGCTGGAATTTTCTACCTCCAGCTTCATGCAAGGGTAGGCGCTGTTGTCACTCATCCCTCTCCAGAAATCTCTCAGACTACCTCCTTTTCATTTAGAGTACTTCGCCCACCCTCCTCATCAAGATTCATCAAGAACTTGAGTCCTATTTGTAGGCCTCTAATCTAAGTCCCTTTACATAAGTATTTCATTTAACATGCTGGGCTAAGGATGGCAATTTCCATTTTAGCGGAAATTTGGATACTAAGACTCAAGTGATTTGCTAGATATCATGCTGTGGCCTCCCTGTATTTGAAGAGAATTCTGTAATTCCAGAAAAGCCTTTTTCCAATTATTGTCACACCTCCTACCTCCTGTATGCAAACTCAATTTAGAATTGTGGGCAGAAGTGCCTATAACAGGCAGAATAATGACCCCTGCCAATGATGTCCATTTTCCAATTCCTGAAGACTGAATAGGTTAGGTTACATGGCAAAGGGGAATAGAGGTTACAGATGGAATTAAGGTTGACATATAACTGACATTAAATTAGGGATATATCCTGGATTATTTGGGTGGCCCCAGTGTTGTCATAAGTGTCCTTAAAAGAGGAAAACGGGCCAGGCGCAGTGGCTGACACCTGTAATCCCAGCACTATGGGAGGCCAAGGTGGGCTGATGACGAGGTCAGGAGTTCAATCAAGACCAGTCTGGCCAACAAAAAAGTTAGATGGGTGTGGTAGTGTGCACCTGTAATCCCAGCTATTCAGGAGGCTGAGGCAGGAGAATCCCAGGAACCCAGGAGGCAGGGGTTGTAGTGAGCTGAGATTGCATGATTGCACTCCAGCCCAGGTGACAGTGTGAGACTCCATCCCCCAAAAAAAAACCTCAGCCTGCCGTTGCTGGCTTTGAAGATGAAGAAAGGGGCCCTGGAGCCTAGGAATCCAGAGGGTTCTAGAAGCTGGGAAAGGCATGGTAACAGATTCTTTCATAAGGCCCTCAGAAGGAACACAGCCCTGCTGACAACTTGATTTTAGCCCAGTGAGACTCTTGTCAGACTTGTGACCTACAGTACTATAAATAATAAATTTGTGTTGTTTTAAGTCACCAAGTTTATGGTAATTTGTTATGGAAGCAATAGAAAATGAATACAGTGCCAATTTCAGTGCTTTCTCTGCCGCTATAAAGTGATAGTGAGGTCCTGTAGTCCCAGCTACTTGGGAGGCTGAGGCAGGAGCACTGCTTGAACCCAGGAGATGGAGGTTGCAGTGAGACAAGATCACACCACTGCACGCCAGCCTAGGCCAGAGGTGGAGGAGGAGGAGGTACTGGAGGAGGAGGAGGATGAGGCACTGACCCCTGAAGTGGAGGAATTAGATTGTAAGAGCGTATTCAGCAAGGCCACTCATGCTAGAAGAATTACCAATTTTTCTCCTTCAGTCATTCACTCTTAATGTGTGCTCTGAAAAGGACATAGTATTCCTCAAAAGAAGAACTGAATCTTAAATTTAGCTAATAACCTAAAAAAAAAAAAGGCAGGAGGGGCTACATGGTCAAGTAAGTACTACAGTAAGTTTTTCCTTAGGACGCTTGCACGGCATTTCTGAAATTCCCCAGACCACAGAATTTTTTTTTGCATGGAACACATCCCTCTGAACTTTTAGGGGGAGTGAAAAAAAGATTTGTGGACAGAGGGGTGACTGAAGTAAACGTGGTCTTAGTAAAAGTAACCTGGCTGTAGCCTACGAGACTGGTATAAAGAAGGACCAGAAGTGTAAGTATCAGAAGTCTATTGCAGGCTGGGTGTGGAGGCTCATGGGTGTCATCCCTTTGGGAGGCTGAGCTGGCAGGACTGCTTCAGCCCCGGAGTACAAGACCAGCCTGGACAACAGAGTCAGACCTCATCTCTACAAAAAATAAAAAAATAACCGGGCGTGGTGGCTCACACCTGTAATCCTAGCACTTTGGGAGGCCAAGGTGGGTGGATCATGAGATCATCAGTTCCACACCAGCCCGACCAACATGGTAAAACACTGTCTGTACTAAAAATACAAGAATTAGCCAGGCATGGTGACGGGCGCCTGTCATCCCAGCTACGCGGGAGGCGGAGGCAAGAGAATCACTTGAACGCGGGAGGCGGAGGATGCAGTGAGCGGAGATTGTGCCACTGCACTCCAGCCTGGGTGATAGAGCGAGATTCCATCTCAGAAAAAAAAAAAAAATCAGCCAGACATGGTGGCATGTACCTGTGGTCGGAGAGCCACCACGCACTATCAGGTTTAATATCTATTTAAAAGAATGATTAATAGAAAAAGGGAAATGAGAATAAAAACAGATAAGACGCCAGGCAAGGTGACTCATGCCAGTAATATCCCAGCACTTTAGGAGGACGAGGTTGGAGGATGGCTTGAACTGAAGGAGATCGAGACCAGCCTGGGCAACATAACAAGACCCTGATTCTACAAAAAACTAAAAAATTAACCAGATGTGGTGGCACTTACCTATAGTCCTAGCTACTCTGGAGGCTGGTGCAAGAAGATTGAGCCCAGGAGTGTGAATTGCAGTAAGCTGTGATCATGCCAGGCACTCCAGCCTGGGCAATAGAGTAGAGACTGTCTCTTAAAAAACAAACAAACGGGAAGAGCACAGTGCCTCACGCCTGTAATCCCAGCACTTTGGGAGTCTGAGGTAGGCAGATCACAAGGTCAGGAGTTCGAGACCAGCCTGGCTAACATGGTGAAACCCCATCTCTACTAAAAATACAAAAATTAACCAGGCCTGTGGCATGTGCCTGTAGTCCCAGCTACTCAGGGGGCTGAGGCAGGAGAATTGGTTGAACCCAGGCGGCGCAGGTTGCAGTGAGCCTGTATTGTGCCACTGCACTCCAGCCTGGGCAACAGAGAGAGACTCTGTCTCAAAAAACAAACAAAAAAAATCAGAATGAGCTGGGTGAGGTGGCTTATGCCAACAGTCCCTGCACTGTGGGAGGCCGTAGAAGGCAGATCACCGGAGCTCAGTGTTTGAGACCAGCCTGGGCAACATAGCAAAACCCGTCTCTACTAAAAACACAAAAATTAGCATTTTAGCTAATTATTGTATTAGCTAAGTATTTTAATTTCGCTACAGGCCTGCGCCTGTAGCCCTGGCTACTCAGGAGGCTGAGACATGAGAATCCCTCGAGCCTGGGGGGCAGAGGTTGCAGTAACCCGAGATTGAGCCACTGTACTCCAGCCTGGGCAGCAGGGAGACTCTGCCTAAAACAAAAACAAACAACAACAAAACAAAACAAACAAACAAAAAGATAATGTTTAGTCTCAAGCATGACTAACATAAACAGTTGCTGTGATGTCAACACTGAGTGTCAACTTGATTGGATCGAAGGGTGCAAAGTATTGATCCTGGGTGTGTCTGTGAGGATGTTGGCAAAGGAGATTCACATTTGAGTCAAGGAGCTGGGAAAGGCAGGCCCAGGCCCACCCTTAATCTGGGTGGGCCCCATCTAATCAGCTGCCAGCAAACATAAAGCATGTGGAAAAACGTGACAAGGCTAAACTGGCGTAGCCTCCCAGCCTACATCTTTCTCCCATGCTGGATGCGTCAAACTTCAAGTTCTTCCGCTTTGAGACTCAGACTGGCCTGCTTGCCCCTCAGCTTGCAGATGGCCTATTGTGGGACCTTGTGATCATGTGAGTTAATATTATTTAATAAACTCCCCTCTTTATATATGTCTATTCTATTAGTTCTCTTCCTCTGGAGAACCCTAATGCAGTTGGTAAGAAAATCAAAGGGAACTCTCTAGTAAAAAGTCTGGAATTACAAATTTAGAAATGCCATAGCTTTAGACTATGTAGGAGAAGTAAGACCTGAAATATATCTCACCTTCCACGTCTGGGAGGAACAAGCTTACATGTTTACATATAGCTCACCTTCCACGTCTGGGGAGTACATGTTTACATGTTTACATATATCTCACCTTCCACATCTGGGGAGTACATGTTTACATGTTTACATATAGCTCACCTTCCACATCTGGGGAGTACATGTTTACATGTTTGTTAAAAACAAAGTGATGACTGATAAGGCTGTGTTTAACCTTCAGCTCAGACATTCACTAAAGCTGTGTCAATTTCAGTAATTTAATCCTGCTGAATCCCAGTTTCTTATCTGCAAAATGGCGACAAACATGAAGAAGGACAAACATAAGTAACATATGTATAGCTCTTAACATCATGCATGGCATATAATAAATATTTATGAATGCATTGATTTTCTTTTTCCATTTATTTATTTATTTATTTATTTTTTTTTTTTTTTTTTTTTTTTTTTTTTTTTTTTTTTTTTTTTTTTTTTTTTTTTTTGAGACAGAGTTTTGCTGTTGTTACCCAGGCTGGAGTGCAATGGCGCGATCTCGGCTCACCGCAACCTCCGCCTCCTGGGTTCAGGCAATTCTCCTGCCTCAGCCTCCTGAGTAGCTGGGATTACAGGCACGCACCACCATGCCCAGCTAATTTTTTGT